GTTGATACAACAATCCCAGGCATTGAGAAGCAATAATCTGGCAACAAGTTCTCCACGGTAACCACCCTCTACTACACCATTTTTTAAAGCTGAAGAAAGCTGATTAATAAGTTCTGTAAGGCTGATATACGGATCGTTCATTATTCGAGTACTAGCTTCTGTCAACAAAGGTTCGGTAGGCATCTCCGTAATAATGTATTCATGGCTCCTTAAAACATTAATACAAAGGCGCATATTGTTTGCCATTAAAGAAGGCATATATATAGATTGTGGCGATATCTCGATACACAAACGGGGTCCAAGAATGGCCAAAGTTTCCAAAATACCAATATTATTTTTGGCTCTCTTCTTCCAAATACTGAAATTCTCTCCACCGATAAGTTTGTCCATCGCCAATTCGATAATACGTTCTGGTGCCATTCCTTTAGCTTCACCAGGAGGTAATAATAACGCACCCCACAAAGGCCTTCCATATTGAAAAAAATGGTGTGGATCTTCAGATTCCTTCAATGTTATAATTTCCTTGACATTCATGTCCACAGTGTCTAATAAATGAAAAGGCTCAAACAACTGAACTCCTCTTTCCGAAATTGTTAATGACGGATCATGGTAAGAAACAGGCGAAAAGTCCGAAATATTTGAATGTATGCTGTAAATATTACAAAAATCCCTGCTCTTTTGGGTAAAAAAATTAAAGCATGTCGTATATAATAGAACAGGTTCTTGTATTCAACCTTCTTACTAACTAGAATACGAGCTTCATCGAATGCGAACAAATATTTAACCGAACCCTTTCGTCTTATAAATTTATTATCAACTAAATATTTACTAGCCATTTCAGTTGTCTCGTTATCATTGGTGCATTCCATAAGCTGGGATTTTATATCTTTCATTCTGCATTCAATATCCCTCCAAAAATCCTCTTGTAAATTTTCATCTAGAAGCTCATTAATCCATAATTTAGAATCCTCGCCAAATTCCTGTATTTTTTAAAAACATGTACGCAAGATACATAACTGTGGCAACTTGTTCATTCTCAAAGTCACCTGTTAATATTTGGAAATATACGACCTGGATGGATAGCCGCTTGATTTGGAGTCTCGTAAACAGCAATATACGGTCATTATATGCTCTGCAGTCAATTATAAATAAAATTGGCTCGAAAATTGGTTTCGTGTACATAGTTAGCGAGAGAGCTTCCTTCAATCATGC